CTGGCATAGTTCATGAAACATGATGGTACAGATGACGTTAATTATTATTTCATTCATGATTAAGCGTCAATGACTATTAAGACTAAGTGCCTAATCTTCGAATCCATTGTAAAACAGTGTTATTTAAACAATAATTGCACACTTGACAGGTGTTTGGATAATACTCACTCTCCGTTAATTATCATCTGTGGACAACTGGAGAGACGATCACAGGAGTGCGTCAGTGATGGACGAATCTATAAGCGAAATCTTGTCAAGCAATAAGATTTTCTTCGAATGTTAATTTTAATTATTCATTCCTTTTTATAATCCGTTTTCGATGCATGTGCAACCATAATACTGAAGTAACAACTAAAACTATGAGAAACTAAACTAATAAGGAATAATAAAAAATACAGTGGTGAAGGACTTGAAAAGAACATAAGAACCATACATTCACCCAGAAATATTAGTACTTACATACACTTGTACGAAAAAAAGGGGGGGGAAATCATTAACTAAAAATTACATTATATTTAAATTGTTATTGAAAAATTATGATACGTTGCCCACGTGACATGTGGGCGAACAGAACTATTAACCCATAAATTATAAACAAGGGACCACTCCTAGTGCAATAAGCTCTAACCAGCAAGTACTGATRGAAAACCCTCTAATAAACGACCACTTCTAGTGCAAAAACCTCTAACACGACCACACCTTTGTGCCTARTCTCAACTCCAGCAACTATCTATAACAACAATTTAAAAAAAATCTAATTCCAAAAATATTATTAAAAAAAAAAAAACCAGATCAAAATTAGACCTTTTTTAGCGCTATAACTACGATAACAACTGTAAATCCCCCCCTTTCCTTGGTGTTTTCCCCGGGGAAAACACCAAGGGTTTTGCTGGAAGGCGTTAGCTCATTAGCAATGCACTTGGCTTATTCACTCTGCAAGCAAGCTCAAGATTTCTTGTCGCCACACACGATCAAATTTACGAAATGTTTTGGATTTCTATGTGCTACTTTAAGATCTCGTGATCATGATGTGGGGAGTAAAGTATTTGAGTYGATATAATGCTTGACCGTTGAGATACTCGGTTTCCTGTATTACAATATTTGCAATATAACGTCACTCTAATACTGGCTATTGATGTCCTTAACCTTTACCGAGACGCCCTGGTTCAAATGGCATCCTGCCCACCTTTATAAATAGTGTAATATCTATTGAATGTTTTGATAAGATTTCAAGCTGAGACATTCTTTTGTGCGGATAACTGCTGATTTCGTATCCCCCTATAAATTAGCGTCTAGAAGTAAAAGTATAAGTATAAAATACATTGCTTGTCCTGACCTCATAATATCAACAACTCACACCGGAAACGGCTTTGACAGGGTTCCAGATTGAACTGACCGACTGAAATACTTCTCCGGCACTGACGTTTGGAACTGACTGAACTTAGTCACAAACCGACTGGGTGATCAGTCACAGCCATAAATTAAAGAGTCTGACATCTTTCTTGTTGAACCCTTTCTTTCTGTTATGGGTTTCCTGTGGACTTGAAACGTCGCACCAGCAATCATCCTGTAACAGAAATAACGCACTCCTACGCACTCCATAGCAACAGTCACTAATAAATGAGTGCGTTACTTAAGAGATTTCTTCGTCCACTATCTTGCCTTGATACAGGATGCTTGCTGGAGCGAAGTTTACATGATCCTGTTATGCGTCCACGGGAAACCTACCACAGAAAGAAAGATGCTAAAGCTCCGGCTCCGCGCTTCCTATGGTTGGACCGAGCAAGGGGAGCCCTGCAAGTTAAGATGGTCAGTAAATACAACTCCCTTTTTTGTACCTCATAATTAATTATTCATTAGTAAGCATTTGATTTATGAGTACAACTGAGTGCAATTTGGTTCGAAATTAAACGAGCGATTACAAAATCTTAGACCGCGTTGCGTGAGTGCAACTTGGTGATCACCAGTTTGATTTTAGGTCAATACTTTACGCCACTCAGTTCAATTAGCACTTAATTATATCTATTTTGAAATCTCCTGCAATAATACTAAATTTTAATTTTAATTTTAATGCAAGATTTAGTCAAAAAACTCAGCTCCGTTCAGCTTTTTGTCTCCTGCTTTTCTTTGTCTATTTTTTTTTCTGCGGCCTTATTAGTCAAATGATATGCATATAGCATTTTATGATATACGTATTTAGGTACGGAAGTCACAGGGAGCCCAATTTGAATGAAACTGAAAGGTAAAAATAAGATCGGGGAAAACATCTTCAATTATTTTTTATTCGAGATGAAGATAATTTCTCCCATAATAAAATAAAGCTTACTTAATTACGTCTTTTACAGAACGAGACGAAGTTTACATTCAGTTAAACGTTGACAAGAACAACTGAGACAAAATAGAAAATAATGCAAAAGGCAATGCAAAAGTACAAAATGACGAATTTCTTGTCAGTAAATTGGCGTTCGTAAATTTTTTGAATATGTTTTAGCTTTTTAAAGTGAAATTCTAGGTCTTTATACAATAACATTTCTCAACAACACAAATTTAAGCTCATTTTTATAATCATACTTGTTCGAACAGCTTAATAAACAGTATYTCATCCTCACTGCATACTCATTATGACCGAGTCACGGCGGGAATTAAGATATGGAAGGTGACCGCGACTGCTGGCAGTGAACATGCGAAAAGCATGCGATGCGTCGTCAACCGCCACCAGGGGAGGTGGGTGGGGTGAATCTTCTACTCTCTCCTTAGGCAGCTTCCGACGGAATGATTCAAGAATCTGGGTGTGGCGCTTGTATATGGAGGGGTCGCAAAGCATTACACCCGCACTGCGCAAACTCCAATGTAATAAATAAATAAATGAATAAATAAATAAATAAATAAATAAATGGAGGGTTGCTAAATTCCTACATGACACGCCAATTATGTATGCAGTGAGAATAGGTGGTTTTATTTCTCGGTGACAATATATTATGGAGCTTATGATCAGGATTTGATACTATATGTCAYGATATATCTTAAAATATACCATTATGGCGTTTCTGATTGGATTGGAAGGGCGACTGTCAACATATCGTTTAAGAAACCAACAGCGAATTTCATCGGACCGCTAGCTTTAGCTTAGTTGTTTTAACTAAGACTCTCTCCTCAATCACTTGCTGTGTAAATGATCTGATGAACAAGAAGGTTTATAGTCTATATATAAGCTTTATATTCTTTTTATATTCTTTTCGTATCATATGAGGGGAGCGGTACATTCCTTTCTGCAGCAAATTAGGGGAGGGTATGCAAAAAGTGCACCTGGTACTAAATAAATTCCACCAGCCCTCCCCCCTCTAATAAATGACACTTCCCTAACTTCCTTTCACCATACGCCTGGTTTTTAAAAAACGGGAAAATAAAGGAGCTTGACAAGGGTCAACAGCCATTTAGGTTATTTCAACCGAACCCTCACCAACATAGGCGAAGTTTGTTGATAGGTTTTTAGCAATCTAATGTCATGTTTGCTCACTGTGTCTCCTGTGTTTGCTCAGTCGAATCTTGTGTACATCAAATCAAGCTACTCTTTAAACGACCAAGACAAACCACTCAGTATTTTTGAGATGCAACCTAAAACAAAGAGGAATTGTCAATATAATAAGACGAAGCGAAGAAAAAATGAAAATAATAGTGCACAAAATATCCTCTTTATCCCAAAATCTTTCATACATTAATTATCGAAGGAGCTTTAATTACGACATTAATTTGTCATTTTATTAAAAATGAAACAAGGAGAAATACTTCCTAAGCACTCTTTTCCATTTTCCATTTTACTTCTGTCTGATTTCTTGGTTTTATTTTTTGGTTTTTAAGAACGTTGGGCGAGGCATTTAACGGACCAGCCCAGCTCATGTTACAAAGTTTTAGGGTGAGGATGATTTACCGCGTAGAGGACTTCATTTTTTTTTTTGTAAATTACCTGCCTTTGGCAAATCTTCAAATAATAAAAGCCGGGTAGTCAAGCCGGAAAGGACTGCCAGCAATTAGTTTAAAAGATTAACCTCTAATAAAACGACCAGGTCGTAGCTTTTACGAACACACTATCCTACCAGCCTTAATGTTCGAAGGTATATATTATTTAAACAAAACCTGTTTGATAGCCACTCTGAAGCGAACAGAGAACTACGGTTATCGTAAGGAAACAAATAAATGGTTGATATTGAAAGGTTACCGCGTGCCATTTTATCATCAGGACAGAAACTGACAGCCAAGCAAATAAAACTGGTGATTCAAGTGGGTCGTTAGATAACTGAATTCAAAGAATGAAAGAAGATAAGGGGCACCTTGCATGACTGCGTCATCAGTACAATTGTATAAGTTGAAGAAGTGCTGCATTGAATGCCAGTAAACGCGCGCCGAAAAAAAAGTCTAGTTAGGACTCTGCTCTTCAGTTGTCATGTTGTTGAACGTCTAATTATAGTCCTACACTTGACAAACAATTTCATTTCAAAGCCAGGTTTTGCGGTGTTTACACTGTACAATGAAAGAGCTAGGATCGGAACATGCAGGGTGGTGGAGTGAAAATCGAATACTACAAGTCAAATGGATTGCCTTATAAAGATAACTGACACCTGCCCGCGACTGTTCTCTGGTTCTTTGTTCGCTCACAGTTCCAACGAATCTAGACATTTAATCGAAATATTTTTGTAAGGTGAGTGAATAAGCGTTAAGGCGAGGATTATATGTGAATTTTAAGGTCTCTTGCAGAACTAGCAGATTGAATATCTTTCAGTAATAGTCAACAATATTACATACACAGTGAACTAAGAGAAAAACTCGCCAAAATGAAGGTGGAAAGATTTCTGCGCTTTCAGCAAAGTTTTTTCTTGTTGAAATAACAAGAAGTTTGTTGTTGAGAACCAAAAATGGTCAACAATTGTAAACGAAAACATATTTAGATTTTTATCTTGTTTAATTTTTTTCCGAGGAAGAACTAAATTTTTGAAATAGAATAACAATTATAGCAATGGAGGGTTTACATGATGCCACGATGAYGTTATATATTTTTATTCCCACTGACTGAAGAAGACAATATTCTGTTGTTTTGCCCAACAACACTGATATAGCAGCTGTGAAAATTCTAGGATCTAGAGCTTGAAGTGGGTTTTCCTTCCTACTTTTATTTTATTTTCAAACTATCTTGGGTTCAAATTCATTATACGCAATGATATTTTTAGAAGAAAACCTTATAAGAAAAAAATAAAGAGATATGAGATAGAAAGCCGAAAAAAATGAATGAAAATTTAGTCTTCTAATTAAAACATATAAAACATCTTTCGTATTTAATAAAGTAGATATTACCATATGTGTACAAAATACAGAGAAACCAATGATATAATATCCACATAGGAAACGACTTTTAAACCGGTATATATTGTGTACTAAYGATGATTTCAAGACGAATACAAGGAACAGTAGAATAGGCGCACCTTCCTGATTAGTGAACTATAATCAGTGCTGAAAACGTATAGTAGTAATAAATTATGCGTTCGGTGTGTGTAATGAAATAGAGAGAATAAGAGGACAAAAATGAAAATGGCTGAAAATGGCTGAGCGAACGTAAAGAAAAAAAGAAAGAAAATCAGGACATAAATGAAAACTGGCGCTAATACTGGAAAGTTCTTGTTAATAGTAATACTGGAAAGCTATTGTTAATAGTAATAGTGGTATTACCATGGCTTTCTTATGTTACCAAATAAAACAGCCAAAAATTGTTTTATGGTTTGCTTCCAGTATATGGCTTGATTTTTATACCGCGTGGTTTTTCTTGTTTTCAATATTCAAATATGAGAAATTCCCTTTAAAAACACTGTTAACTTTGAAGTAAATAAAGGCAGATATAAAGCTTGGAACGAACGGAAACGTTTATTAAAAAACAAACAAAAAAGCAGGTATAGTTATACTATGAGACCGGTGTAGGTACGTGAGTCAAACCAGTTTTCAGTCATAAAAACAATGCAAAAGCACGAATATYGTTGTGCTTCAAAGAGTTAGACACGATATTATACTGGATTTGTTTGAATTGACGTTTGAATTCTTAGCATACATTTGTGTCCGCATTTTATAATGAATACGACTTTTGACACGAAACCATGCAGCGTTGTTTCCGGGACAAATCTACTCTGTTTTTTATCCTATTTATACCTGCTTGCTCTGAGATTTATGTGTGTTGTGGTTGTTAAAAAGGGAAGTTGTAGACTCGAAAGAGTCGCGGTACACTTTAAATCATGCCCTGATATGAAGATCAGTTGTTTCTAGCCTATCATCTGCTAACATGTCCATCTCTGATGTTCGATCACATCAACTTATGTTAGTCATTCTTCAAGTAGAAATGACGTCTTTTTATCGTAGGCAAGAAATACCYAAGTAAAGCATTCTCTGACATTTCTTATCATACCGTTGTATTTCAGGTCAATTGACAATGAACAACACATCCAATGGACAGGGCACCTGTGCTCAGCCAAAGGAGAGAAAGATCACATGGGCAGTTGTGTTTTCAATCCTAACGTGTGCAATCATTCTTTCCAATATACTCACAATCACAGTCTTTGTCAAGACAAGGCTAAGAAGAGTACGCAAACGAACTCATTATTTATTGATTAGTCTGTCATGCGCAGATCTTATGGTGGGGTGTTTTTCCAGTCCATTGTTCATAAGGGATTTAATTTATCCTTTAGAACACAGGGGTAACTCAATACGCCAGGCCGTCCACGAGGTTCTCGATATTACCTCRGGATTTGCTTCCATCCTCTCTCTGACCGCTATAGCCGTTGAGAGACTGATCRCTGTTCGCTGGCCACTAAAACACCGTTCCGCTACTAATTCATATTACATTCTTGCCATTACTATGCCTTGGTTGGTTGCCATAGTGATTTCGTTATTCTATTTGATGGGTTATATTTGGATATTACTGCCACCTTACCTTTTGTCATCAGTTGCTGTTGTTTGTATATCGACATCGCTTATTATCATAACATTATCGTATTCTCTGGTATGGGCAAAGGTTAGAGGAAGACAGTGGAGACCTCAGCGGTSTCAAGAAACAGACAAAGAACGCCGACTTACCAAGACTTTGATGACTATCACTGTAGCGTCACTGTTAGCATGGTTACCATTTGAGGTCCTACTTATCATACTTCACTTTTGCAACCAATGTCGTGCACCTTTTACCGAAAAACTTTCATCCGTCAGTTTGATTTTCAAGCTTCTTCAGTTTAGCAACTCCTTCATCAACACCGTGTTTTACTCGCTGAGGATTCCTGAATACAAGAGGACATTGCGCCACCTATTTCACAAGCCATGCAAAAAAGAAGTGGCTATTCCACTCCCGCACGTGAACACGGCCAGACTAACTTCAGTTAAAAAGTACATAAGATCGCCACTAATGTCCAGCCCTAGAATCATGCGTTCTTTGGTCGTGTTAGATACAGTGAGAAATGCTGGACAATTACCTAGTAACATTATTACTAGTAACTCTCCGCTTATGACAAGAAGACTTGCATTCAACTAAAGTATTTCCATGAAATAATGGGAGATTCAAAATGAAAGTGGTGAAATGGAAAAAGGAAATCCATGAACAGGCAAACTGAATATGAAAAAATAGAAATGAGTATTTGCGTGATTTGAAACAGATTTGGATTCACTCAGTTCCACATAAATGATTTTCTTCTTTTGATCCCATTTATTCCGGCAAACTTATCATGTTAACTTTCACTCCCCGAAAAGTCACGCGCTGAAAACAATTACATTTAAAAGTGTATTATAACTGAAACCCTTAAAATAAAAAAAGGAATTCCTTAAAGTCCTTGAAATCCCTCAGTGTGATTTAAGTTTGGGCATGGCTAACTCACAGATCGAACCCTGAAACAACCTCTGGGCTGATCTAAGTCAGGGCACGGCCAACTCACAGATCGAACCCTGAAACAACCTCTGGGCTGA